TTTCTTTAGAACTGCTTTTTGTGTTTAGTTTGTTGTCCTTCCCCGCACCTCCGATGAGCATGGTTGGTTACGTACGGTGCGAAAGAAGTTCAACATACATCATCAACTATTCGACTGCCGGAGTAGTACCTGTCATGATTCATGCGCGAGATTGGGGTAACTAATTGGAAGAGCAGGGACGGAGGCAAATACCTGGATGTTATTCCAGACAGAACCCCTCGTGACAAGAAATAGAACGCGCCCGAGAGGACGTGCACCGAGGAGATGGAGCGACGAATCCAGCTTCGCGTGCAGGTTCCTGGTTCAATTGAAACATCGCAGGACCGCGAGAGAGATGGTGACGGACGGAACGGGGATAGGTCTTCATCCAGCAGCGGATTGATCATGGCCGACGGGAATGGAGCGCAGTGGCTTCTGTGATGAAGAGATAGAGATGGTGGCGGGGGGGGGGTGGAGAGTCTCGATGAAGACTTCCCTGCGTCTAATGATGAAGTCTTTCGTGAGGATGGAGAGCGCGGTGAGAGCTTCGCTTCATCTCCACGAGGCAACGGCGCCGACTCGTGGCGACGACGCGTAACTGCAGGGAGCCTCGCAATACAGCAGCATGGGTTTATAAACTAAAACTAAACTACAACTATTATGTATTTTACCAGGTAGAGCCCACTGAGTTTTGTTTCATATGCGACCTGGCCACAAATGATAGCTCAACGAAGTGGCTTATCGTGTGGACATGCATAGCAGCCAAATACTCCAAACGCACGTTTCTAAATGTGGAGGGAAAACCCGCAGGACCCGGAGAAATATCCCCGCGACCACGCGGAGAGAGACACGCGGTTCAGCAGCATGGGTTTATAACAGAGGTGGGACAAAGTCATTGTTATGCAAGTCCAAGTCGAGTCTGAAGTCATCAAATTCATGACTCGAGTCTGACTCGAGTCCAAGTCACATGACTCGAGTCCACACCTCAGAGGTGGGACAAAGTCATTGTTATGCAAGTCCAAGTCGAGTCTGAAGTCATCAAATTCATGACTCGAGTCGACTCGAGTCCAAGTCACATGACTCGAGTCCACACCTCTGGTTTATAAACTAAAACACAACTATTCTTTATTTTACCAGGTAGAGCCCACTGAGTTTTTTTTCAGATGCGACCTGGCCACAAATGATAGCTAAACGAAGTGGCTTATCGTGTAGACATTTATAGCAGCCAAAATGCTCCAAACGCACGATTCTAAATGTGGAGGGAAAACCCAGAGGACCCGGAGAAATATCCCCGCGACCTCGCGGAGAGAGACACGAAAACTCCAAATATGCAGCAGGCGACAGGATCGAACCCACGACCTCCTGCATATCCGGCGAGAGAGTTAACATCTCGCCATTATATCAAATATATATAATAGGTGACGTTTATCACGTGGAAGTGTATTGCAGCCAAATAACTCTGATCGCATGTTTCTAGATGTGGAGGGTAAATACCGAAGGACCAGAAGAAAGATCCACGCGACCACGTGGAGAGAGACACGCAAACTCCAAAGATACAGCAGCAGGCGTCAGGGTCGGGATCGAACCCACGTCCTCCTGCATACCAGGCGAGGGAGTTAACATCACCGCGGGCCACAATCTATGCTCATTAAAGTTTTATTGTTGTGCAGCTGCATCTAACTCTGTCGCTCTCCCTTGAAACATATTCTCACCTGATTGAAACATGAAGGATCTAACCGACTGAGCGACTGTGGCTATGCTGGTTCGACTGTTGTGAAAGACCCATGGCCGCTGCTACCCTATTCTGAGGATTACAAGACACACTTTGTGCACCTCCATTGTGAAATGAAGTTCGGGGGTTGTCGTGTAATCCGGTCGCTGCGAGTGTACGCGCCCGTGGCCAGATTTGTATAAGGGGCCGTCCATAAATGACGTCACGCTATTTTGGACTATTTTTGACCCCCCCCCCCCCTTCGTCACACAGCGTCACAAAAAGTCAGACCCCCCCTCAAATATGACGCCACAAAGCTCTGCCCCCCTTCCCCCCCCCGAAATAAAACATGCTTCAAATCGCTTTAAACTATTGTCATTGTAGTGCGTATTTAATGTGGCACTCTGATGTTGTAGGAGAAAACATTTATTAAAAGTCTATTTCATTAAGTAGAACGTGTTGTCTATATTTATTTAAAGTTGCGCATTTTGATGTGACTTCACATTTCTCAACCCCCCCTCCCCTCGTCACACATCGTCACAAATGTCTGACCTCCCCCCCCCCCAGGTGCATGACGTCATTTATGGACGGCCCCTAACTTTATTGAGACCGAACACAAGGTCAGTCTGGGATGCGTCTTTCTTTCCGGAGTGTCTTATATTCCGGAGAATACGGTAATCCTCAGCGTCAATAAAACAGTAATTCAACAATAATTTGCGAGAAAAATATTCAGGCAAGTTCCTAACTCCTTCACTCGATTCGTAAGCTATCATTTGTGTCCAGGTCACCGTGGCGAGATGTTAACTACCTCGCCTGCTAGAGATGAAGGTCGCGGGTTCGAACCTCAACCATGACGCCTGTGTATTTGGAGTTTGCGTGTCTCTCTCTCTTCTCGTGGTCGTGTGGATTTTTTTCCGAGTCCCTCCGGGTTTTTCCCTCCACATGTCGGAAGCAACATCAGAGTATTTGGGCTGCTGTACATTTGCACGTGATAAGCAACTTCGATAGCCAGGTCACTTCTAATAAAAGAGATATATTGCTCAGAGGGCCTTACGTGGTAAAATAAAAAAAAATATATAGTGTATAGTTGACATTCGCTATCCGTGGGCTCGTGAGGCCCTCTGCTGGAAGCGGGAGGCCAGAGCCCTCAACTCGGGCTCTGCAAGGTGGCAGAGGCGTTCCGTGTTAAAACAATCAAAAGGTCAACGTGAATTCTTACTCAAATCTGCTGTTTGTGCTGGATTGCATCGTCCTATAGCGTAGGGGGTCTGGGTCAAGTCTAACCCATAGGACCAACCACTGTTGACTTGCTTACAAAGTGGTACTTAATTTATCGACCGCGGAGAGACGATGGGCTGAGTCAACCCCCACCCAGGATTTGAACTCTAGACCTCTGAGCAACGAAGTTACTTACTCTGTTGTAAAACAATGGTTGGCTACGTACAGTGCGAAATAAGTTCGACATACATATGTAAAATCATGTATGCTAATATATGTTTTATACATAAGTAACCGTGTAAGATTCGTACGGCTGGCCTACGTACGGTGCGAAAGAAGTTCAACCTACGTAACATATTTGCGAAGCGATCAAACTCTGCACACGACAGATTTCAACGAGAGACACTCAACACGCGGCTAAAAAAACTGATTCTGGAGTCGAATCACGTTCGTGAGTTGAGCCTGGTGGACATTGTCTCGGATAAGCGACCACGGCGCATGATGATACATGTTGCCATCGGCTGCACGCGGAGCTACGGTGGACGGCATCGGAGTTCGAGCAATTATTGTACTCTACTTCTATGCCATCCTGCACGTCTACGCTCTCCGCTTTTCCCACCACTGCACACTGACCAGCATGGCGCATGCAGTCTTGTAAAATAACACGCGCGTACGTATCTATGTACGTATGTTGAACTTCTATCGCACCGTACGTGGCCAGTCGTGCACGGTGTTGTGAAGAGGGCTGTGTGTGTACAGAACTCGCAGCTAACGGAGACGATGCGAAAATTGTCGCAGTGTTCACTGCGCATAAAGAGAAGTTCGCATCTATCTGCAGTGCGCGTGATTTTGCTCCCGATGGGTCCGCTATGTCTGCACATTATAGACGCGATGAAAACTCGCGATAATCAGCAGCGACAGTAGCAGCAGCCGTGGTCAATCCACTGCTGAATGAAGGCCTCCCCCAAGCCGTCGCCGCCTTTCACGCAGCTGCACAAGACGTTAATAATCCACCTTCTACTTTCACTCTTCCATCTCCTCATTCGGTGGTCACCCACTCGAGCGCATTCCATTCTTGAGATAGGAATCATCGGTTGGAGATATCCTCCAAGTGGCGGTGAGCGAGACGTGATTCGAGCTCAAGTTCTACTTTATTTGCGTAGAAGTCTCCTTTTTAAAGCATGACCTTGGTCACCATCATTGTGTTATTATTGTGACTATGATTATTTACCCAGAAAAGCATCATTCGGTCGCACCACTATTGTCTTGTCGCGAAGGTTTTCGCAGCGGGAGGCAATAATTGACGCTTTGCGTTTCACTATTAAAGTAATTTGCGAGTAATGTTTTCACATTTTGGCACATTTGGCCCGCGACGCCCTGCACAAGATGGACTAATTCATCTCTTCGGGATCCTTTTACGTCCGATGCGAAGGCAGACGGCGCCGATTTTCACGGCTAATATTCACCGGCGGTATTAACCGATGACAAAAGCGATGAAATATTCTCACCGCGATCTTGGCTACGTGCCCCAGGGCGGGGCAGTTGGAGAAATCGTGTCCAGGCAATTTGGGTGGGTGAAAGAAAAAAAGGAAAAACAGCAGCGGCTGCTTCCATCTGGCCCCGGACGGCTGCGTCACCTCCTCGCCGCACCCACCGTGATCCACGGGGCCCACATCGACATCCACGCTGGGACTTGTGCACAAGGCGGGGGGGGGTAGGGGGCAGAGTGGGTGGGGGGCAGAGTGGGTAACGCCCCGTGTAGTTTTGTGGCGAGACACCCCCCGCTCTAGAAGGGAATTCTAGACGAAGGAAATCGAGTGGATGTTGAACTTTTTTCGCACCGTACGTAACCAAGGTGCTGGGGTAGGGCAACAAACTAAACGCACGAAAAACAGCTCTAAAGAAGTTCGACCTCGGCTTAAAAGAGCATTCGTTAGAGAGGCGCTTCTGTGAATTGTTGAGAGACGCTTCTGTAAAACAAACACAATAACTTCAACGCTTACGTCAATAACACCTGTGGTCTTAAATAGGGGGATACAATATATAATAGGCAATGGCTCCGTACTATGAAAAAGAGTCATTGCCCGAAACGTCGCCTTTTATATATATTTGGGGGGGGGGGGGTCAGATACCGACACCCCGACGCAGACAATGAATAAAGTTACCGCGTGATCGAACATGCCGGCACACTGACATGTTTGGAGAGAAATCCACAACATTGAACCATCGATCACGGGCCGTAACATTGGTCGCGAAAGCCCACGCGTTCGATCAGCCCTTAGGATCGCAATCAATCAGTCCGGCGCTCTCGACCCATCGAGCATCATGATGTCGCACGCACACACGTCCGCTGGCATCGCAACTCAAAACCACGCGAGACGTCACGGATTTAAATCCCCCCCCTCCCGCCGTGTAGCAGCAGCTGCAGCAGCAGTGCAGGGTGTGGCTTGGAGCGCGAACGCGGCTGCTCGCTGCTGTTGCACGGGAGACGGGAGCTGGGGTCTTCGACGCGCACGGAACGCCGTCAATGCGAGCATCACGGCGGCGGCAACAGCAGCAGCAGCGGCAGGAGCATCGGCAGCATGTATCGAGCCTTCCTCTTCAGCTCAGTCCTGGGACTTGTCGGGTTCGCCTCCCGATGCGGTGAGTCGAGGCAAATCGTTCGATGTCCGGCAGCAAGTTGTTGAACGTGAGCGTTCAAAGTTGACGCGATTTTGTTCGGTTGTAACGAGTGGGACGTTGAGCTGTGTTCACGCGCGTGCTGTGTGCGCACGCGCGCATAACGATGCATCCTGGCAGTCATCTCGGTCAGTCAAAACCCGGGTCTGTCCCGTGACCTGTCAGCGAGTCTTCGACCTTAACGTGCACCTAGCCTGGCACAAGAATCGCGGTGACGTCACCATCACTTAGTGGTGAAATTGCGGCTGCTGTTGCGTAGTGGATAGCGCACTGCGCTCCGCTGGGAATGAACTCCACTGGTCTGGGTTCGATACCTGGCCAGGGCGAAAATCTGTGCCAATAATTATATCCGAACAGGTTCCTGGGACCTGCTTTGTATTCTTAGGTTTTTTCGGTAAAGTCACGTAGGTAAAACATTTAAATTAATAAAAGTAAAATAAAATAAAAATAAAATAAAAATCACGACGTTTCGGAGGCAACACAAGCTTCCGTCTTCAGGCGGAACCGTCACAGCCCGACAGCTGTATCAAGTACACATTAGCACTGGGGGAGACAAAAGCGGCCGTGCGTATTTCTACCCACATCATCCCCCCGATAGCCGTCCTGCCTTAAAAGGTGCTCGCTAACAGTACTTGCCCCAATAGTCTGCTAAAGGCTGTACAGGGATCTTTGTCAGTGTAAAAAGTGTGACCCCATCAGTTGACTGCAGTGGGTCACCCAAAGTTTCCGTGCATCGCCCTCGGCGTCTTCGATTCGTGTCTCGCCGTCTCCCGCCTGCGTCTCTCCCCATGCGTGTGTCTTTCTGTTGCCTGTCCAAGTTAGTGTCTGTCTCCCTCTCGTTTCGAGTTACGCTCAGTCCAACTCTTCCCGTGTCTGCACAGGAACCCACATTGGTGGCTATGGAACCACTATTAAAGTGACTGCGTCTCATCATTGTGTGGGTCTGTCGACCTCTCTCTCTCTCTCTCTGCGTTTCATTGTATTCGCCTCTACCCATATCTATCGCTCCCTGTCTGACGATTGCATCGTTCGAAACACTACAGTTCACGTAATCGATACAATCGAAACTTCTTTACTTTGCTTTTACAGATGCCCGCGTTGGCGGCTGTGAACACTGCGTGAGCTGGTGGGAGGGGGGGGTTCGTATTCCGATGTTTTCAGGGGTTGTTGTTTTGGCTCGCACAGCCGTGCCCGTGCGAACGCGAGCCTCCACGTGGAAAGCACGTGCTGCTGTTGTTGCTGCTGCAGCAGCACTTGCTGATGCTGCTGTTGCTGCTGCAGCAATAGCTGCTACTGCTGCAGCAGCACTTGATGATGCTGCTGTTGCTGCTGCAGCAATAGCTGCTACTGCTGCAGCAGCACTTGCTGATGCTGTTGTTGTTGCTACTGCTGCTGCAGCAGCACTTGCTGATGCTGTTGTTGTTGCTACTGCTGCAGCAGCAGCACTTGCTGATGCTGTTGTTGCTGCTACTGCTGCTGCAGGAGCACTTGCTGATGCTGTTGTTGCTGCTACTGCTGCTGCAGCAGCACTTGCTGATGCTGTTGTTGCTGCTACTGCTGCTGCAGCAGCACTTGCTGATGCTGTTGTTGCTGCTACTGCTGGGGGGCTGTCTGTGTCTGTCTCAGCCGGGTCTCGTTGTGTCTGTTGCACTGTCCCCCCCCGCCCCCATGTGTATTTGTGGTGTGTCTGCGTGGTGTGTATGTGTGGTGTGTCTGTGTGGTGTGTCTGCGTGGTGTGTCTGCTTGGTATGTCTGTGTGTATGTGTGGTGTGTTTGTGTGGTGTGTCTGCGTGGTGTGTCTGTGTGGTGTGTCTGCGTGGTGTGTCTGCTTGGTATGTCTGTGTGTATGTGTGGTGTGTCTGTGTGGCGTGTCTGTGTGTCTGTGTGTATGTTTGCTGTGTCTACGTGGTGTGTCTGTGTGGTGTCCGTGTGGTGTGTCTGTGTGGTGTGTCTATGTGTCTGTGTGGTGTGTCTGTGTGGTGTGTCTGTGTGGTGTGTCTATGTGTCTGTGTGGTGTGTCTGTGTGGTGTGTCTGTGTGGTGTGTCTATGTGGTGTATCTGCGTGGTGTGTCTGTGTGGTGTGTCTGCGTGGTGTTTCTGTGTGGTGTGTCTGTGTGGTGTGTCTGCGTGGTGTCTGTGTGGTGTGTCTGTGTGGTGTGTCTGTGTGTCTGCGTGGTGTGTCTGCGTGGTGTGTCTGTGTGGTGTGTCTGCGTGGTGTGTCTGCGTGGTGTGTCTGTGTGGTGTGTCTGCGTGGTGTTTCTGTGTGGTGTGTCTGTGTGGTGTGTCTGCGTGGTGTGTCTGTGTGGTGTGTCTGTGTGGTGTATCTGTGTGTCTGTGTGTCTGCGTAGTGTGTCTGTGTGGTGTGTCTGTGTGGTGTGTCTGTGTGGTGTGTCTGTGTGTCTGCGTGGTGTGTCTGCGTGGTGTTTCTGTGTGGTGTCTCTGTGTGTGGTGTGTCTGTGTGTGGAGTGTCTGCGGGGGGTGTCTGCGTGGTGTGTCTTTGTGGTGTGTCTGTGGGGTGTGTCTGCGGGGTGTGTCTGCGTGGTGTGTTTATGTGGTGTGTCTGTGCGATGTGTCTGTGGGGTGTGTCTGTGTGGTGTGTCTGCGTGGTGTGTCTACGTGGTGTGTCTGTGGGGTGTGTCTGTGTGTGGTGTGTCTGCGGGGGTGTCTGCGTGGTGTGTCTGTGTATGGTGTGCCTGTGTGTGGTGTGTCTGCGTGGTGTGTCTGCGTGGTGTGTCTGCGGGGTGTGTCTGCGTGGTGTGTCTGCGTGGTGTGTCTGTGTGGTGTGTCTGTGTGTGGTGTGTCTGCGGGGTGTGTCTGTGTGTGGTGTGTCTGTGTGGTGTGTCTGTGTGTGGTGTGTCTGTGTGTGGTGTGTCTGTGTGTGGTGTGTCTGTGTGGTGTGTTTGTGCGTGGTGTGTCTGTGTGGTGTGTCTGTGTGTGGTGTGTCTGTGTGGTGTGTCTGTTCGTGGTGTGTCTGTGTGTGGTGTATCTGTGTGTGGTGTGTCTGTGTGTGGTGTGTCTGTGTGTGGTGTGTCTGTGTGGTGTGTCTGTGCGTGGTGTGTCTGTGTGTGGTGTGTCTGTGTGTGGTGTGTCTGTGTGGTGTGTCTGTGCGTGGTGTGTCTGTGTGGTGTGTCTGTGTGTGGTGTGTCTGTGTGGTGTGTCTGTGTGGTGTGTCTGCGTGGTGTGTCTGTGTGGTGTGTCTGTGGGGTGTGTCTGTGTGGTGTGTCTGTGTGGTGTGTCTGTGTGGTGTGTCCGTGGGGTGTGTCTGTGTGGTGTGTCTGTGTGGTGTGTGTGTGTGGTGTGTCTGCTTGGTGTGTCTGCGTGGAGTGTCTGTGTGTGGTGTGTTGTGTCTCTGTCTCCGTCTCTCTCTCTCTCCACGTCTGTTGTGTGTCTCTGTCTCCGGTGTCTCTCTCTCTCCACGTCTGTTGTGTCTCTCTTTCTCCACGTCTGTTGTGTTTCTCTGTCTCCGTGTCTCTCTCTCTCTCCGCGTCTGTTGTGTTTCTCTGTCTCCGTGTCTCTCTCTCTCTCTGTGTTGTGTTTCTCTCTCAGTGTCTCTCTCTCTCTCTCCACGTCTGATGTGTTTCTCTGTCTCCGTGTCTTTCTCTCTCCACGTCTGTTGTGTTTCTCTGTCTCCGTGTCTCTCTCTCTCTCCGCATCTGTTGTGTTTCTCTGTCTCCGTGTCTCTCTCTCTCTCTGTGTTGTGTTTCTCTCTCAGTGTCTCTCTCTCTCTCTCCACGTCTGTTGTGTTTCTCTGTCTCAGTGTCTCTCTCTCTCCACGTCTGATGTGCTTCTCTGTCTCCGTGTCTCTCTCTCTCTCCACGTCTATTGTGTTTCTCTGTCTCCGTGTCTCTCTCCACATCTGTTGTGTTTCTCTCTCTCTCTCTCTCCACGTCTCCGTGTCTCGGGCCGCAACTTGAGTTTGTCTGCCTGGTTGTCCTGGTGGAGGCGCCGTTCCTTCGATTTCAGGCGATGCACGCGCGAGCAGTGACGCGTGACGACGATGCCACGTGGTGATGTGTTGGGATGTTGATGTGTATCGTCACCTCTAATTATAATCGATACTTATTGATGCGTTTTGACCGCCACGCTAAATGCCCATTCTCCGCTTCGAATGTGCCCCAAGTCGTGGCTGTATCAGCCGTAATATTTCACGTGAGTGATGTCATTCAGGCCCTCGATTAACCCTTCGCAACGATCCGTATCGTCGTCAATGTCTTCCAGGATCTTCGCCGACGATGATGGGAGTCGAAGTCGACTTCGACGCCGCCACGCAGAGTGTCTTCGTGTTCCTGCAGCCAAACTCGCATTGTGATCGCGTAAGTGGTATGCGCGCGCGCGTGTGCGTGATTACGTGTGTGTGTGTGCGCGCGCGTGTGATTGGAGAGCGATTTTACGCCAAAAATGTGCCGATGCCTCCATCACAGACTACTGATGGGATGGACAAAGATGTGCATTTTGATTGTTTCCACGAGACTTGGAATGAAGCTCCGATGTGCCTGTGTGTGTGGGAGTGGCAGTCCAGCGGTTGTTAGCGCGCTGCCACACAAACTCGGCCACCCGAGTTCAATTCGGGCTCACGGCAAACACCAGTGACAATTATCGCAAACGGTCTTGGGCGTCCCCTATGTCGACTCAGCCTCAACAAAATTGAGCGCCTGGTACGATGTGTAAACATGCCCACTGGGGAGACAAAGGCGGCCAGGCGTGGTGCTGTCCACACCACCCCCTCGTGAGCGGTGCCGGTCTTCATGGGTGATACTCGCTAACAGCACTTGCTCCAACAGTTTGTTAAAGGCTTAACTTGACAATCTCTGCCTTTGTGTTTGTGAGTGTGATTAGGCGTGCGTGTGTGTGTGTGTGAAGGTCTGTGTTTTGTTTGCGAGGCTATGAGCGATGGTGCAGCGATATAACGACAGCCTCACATACTCAGCCACCCGAGTTCGATTCCAGGCTATGGGCTGACTATCGCCAAGGCCGACAACTACGCGATTTCCCCCACGATTGCCCTGAACAGCAATCGATTCAACTGGAGCAGTGCGTTGGCGCTTCCCACGCGCATTCGCGTGCCGAATTAACGTTCACGTCGACATTGTTGAGTCAACACAAAACAATGTCACGACGATACAACGCCCCACGGTGATAGCCACGGATGGGAATCGAACTCAGGTCGCCGGGTTCATCGTGAGATAACGTGCAATACCTCAGCAGCACAACTTTCCACACCCATTTGTGTAGAAAGACAAATAACCCCGTTATAGCCTCAACAGAATGTTGGGGCAAGTGCTGTTGGCGAGAATCACCTATGAAGGCCTGCACGGCACACTAGTGGGGTGAGTGACCAACACCACGCCCGGACACGCCTTTGTCTCCCTCGTGGCGAAGTTTACACACCGCACCAGGTACTCATTTGAGACTGAGTCGACCCACGAGATGGAGACCCGGATCCTGTTCGACCTCGGGGATGTCCTGGACCGGTTCAGATAATCGGAGTGGGAATCGAACTCGGACCGCTCCACTCACGCGTCCACGAATCGGAGCACGGCTCCCTTCCAACGAGTGTCGGTCGTGGTGTTTGAGCAACATTGCCTCCTGGCTAGAGGATACTGCCAAGGTGGGAATCTTGCCCGGACACGCCTGACCCAATTGTTCGGGCTGGGATCGGTGGAGTCGGGTTTGTACCTGAACACGCGTGTTTCGGCCGCTCGTGTGAGTGTGTGTATGTGTGTGTGTATGCGCTATAAACCCGGCGACCCGGGTTCGATTCCCGCTCACGGCCAACACCAGTGACGATTATATGAACCGGTCCTGGGCCTCCCCTAGGTCGACTTAGCCTCAAATGAGTACCTGGTGCGGTGTGCAGTGAACATCGCTAGCACTGGGGAGACAAATGTGGGCGGGCGTCGTGTTGGCCACCCACCCCCTCGTGTGCCGTTCCGGCCTTCATCAGCACTTGCCCCAACAGTCTGTTAAAGGCTATACGGTGGATCTTTGTCAATGTACGTGTCTCTATGCACTGCGATATGAACCCGTTGGCCTGAGTTCAGGTCTTGGCTGTGGACAACATCTTTGGCAGAAAGGGGGAGCTAAAAATACACTCGGCTATCCCTAGGGGGGCTGTCCTTCATTCAATGTTTACCGGTGAGGTGTATAAAACATCAGCGCTGGGGGGAGACAAAGGTGGCTGGGCGTGATTGTGATCACACCCAGAAGTGTACATCTGTACTGCCTCCTTTGTACTTATTGAAGACAACGAAGAAGCAGGCAATACACCTCCCCGTATTTGTTTCTCGACGTAACAAATCAATAAATAAAATGACCGTTCCATTGGCCAACAACGGCGTCTGGGAGTTATTTCTTTTTTTCACGCCGGCATCGAGTTAGCACGATCAAACCGCGGGCCGGTTTTGACATTCAGCCTCTCATCAGCTGCGCCAGGCTGCCTTGAACCAATTCTCAACTCAACACGTCCCATTCACTGGCTACCACATTCAGATAAGCCCCTCCCCCTTAACTTGTATTTAAGAGCTTCTCTCTTGGAATTTTGCCTCACTTGATACGGTAAATGTAGCTGTGACGGTCCCACCTAATGACGGAGACTTGTGTTGCCTCCGAAACGTCGTGATTTATTATTTTATTTCTGTTATTATTTCTATAATTTGTATTATTTATTTTTATTTATTTTTACCTACGGGACTTTACCGAAAAAACCTAAGAGTATCAATTCTCAACTGCCGGGATGTTTACAGGCAATCACTGTTCCCTGTTTGATACTGATCCTGTAACAAACAACAACCATGTGGGAAGGATGCACACCCACTGCTCCATTATCCCGTCGGTCACATTTCCTTGAACGACGTCGTCGGTGTTTTGTCATCTGCACTGATTTGTTCTCGTTCCCACCGCGACTTGATTGTAGCGACTCATCCCTTGCCTGTCCCCTTCTGTCTCGTCCCACGTGTCCGGGTGTCTAAGCCTGCCTCGTTGAGTTCTGGCCCCTTGCTCTCCGCACAAAGGTCCCCCGTGTAGCCTTAACAGACTGTTTGGGGCAAGTGCTATTCGCGAGCACCTATGAAGGCCGGCATGGCGCATTAGCGGATCGGTGGCCAGCACCACGCTCGGCCGCCTTTGTCTCCTTAACGGCGACGTTTACACCACCGCACCAGGTACTCGTTTGAGGCTGAGTCGACCTAGTGGAGGCTCAGGACCGCTACAGATAATCGTCACTGGCGTTGGTGGCAGTGAGCGGGAGTCGAACTCGGATGGCCAGGTTCGTAGCGCAGCGCTCTCACCGTTAAACCACCGCTCCCCACAACCACTCATCCCACGACTCCTCCGACTTCTCTCCTCCCCACTCCTCTCTCCCTGTTCCCATTTGGAGTGGTCTCTTAGGGAGCCGCCATAACAAAATGGTTGTGCTATGATGCATGCTAATTGCCCCAAAGCGTCGCCTTTATATATATAAACCTCGATTATGGATTCATGTTTCCACTTTTTTAAAGGCCACACAGGGTTTATTGTAATTTGTACTCGTCTGCCACTGCGACGGAGTGTGCGTATTGAACTTCTTTCGCACAGCACGTAGCCACCCGTGATGTACGGCAAGGCCGTAGCCATGGAGTCAACATTGGGGGGGGGGACCAAATCTTCCAGGGGGTCTGGTGGTCCCCCCCCCCCCCAGAAAAAAAATCTAAATTTTAAAACGAGTTTCCTGCCTAAAATATAAAAAAAATCACTAAGGATGGACTTTTTATTTATTTTTTACAATAATGTCTAATAGTGTATTGTATTACATTGCTCTGTTTTTTTCTTTTTTTACCTTTTCTTGTTTCATCGTATCAAAATGGCAGAGATGAGATATTAATAAAGTACAACCATGACCACAATCATATCAACACGTATTATAATTACGGTCCTCGATGTGCGTCATCCCTTGAGCAACACTCGTTGCTGCTCAACACCGCAGTGTATGGAGCGGCGAGTTGCAGGTGCGTGGTAAGACACGTTTGGCACGAAACCGAGCAGCGCCCTCTCGCCCTCTGCTATCGGCCTGTTGATTGGGCGCGGCAGGGCTCTCCACAGGCGCAGCGGGAGTTGTGTGCCGGCGCTGCAACTGCGCAAGGGCTTCGATGTCTATCTTAGGCACCGGGATACGAAGATGGGGGGCGGGGGGGGGGCAGCCTCCGTTTCATTTCATTACTCAGCCATCTTCATGCCGACCACGTGACGCCATTGGTGTCGGGATACATCTCAGATGTAGTTGCCTGCGTCTGTGAAACACGCACGCGCATAGCAACACAGACAAGATCCCCCGTATAGCCTGAACGGCCTGTTGGGGCGAGTGATGTTAGCAAGCACCTTAAAGCGCAGAACGTCACGCGAGGGGTGGGTAGCCAGCACTCCGCCTGGTCGCCTTTGTCTTCCTCGTGTCGATGTTTACACACCGCAACAGGATACTCATTTAAGGCTGAGTCGACCTAGGGGAGGCCCAGGGCCGGTTCATACAATCGTCACTGGTGTTGGCCGTGAGCGGGAATCGAACTCGGGCCGCTGGATTCATAGCGCGGCCCGCTAACCGCTACGCTACCGTTCCCCCATGTACGCACGGACGTTGTTGCTTGTCCACGTTGTGTTTGTTTTACGCGCCCCACCGTTGCTCCCTGCTGGAACTTACTGCCCAGTTCGGAGCTGGGAGACTTTGCAAGATGAAAAGGGTGGGGGGCAAGGAGGTATCAGGACACATGCCGGATGATCGCAGTAGCACAAGTAGCTACATATGTAGTAGCTACATGTGTAGTTGCTACGGGCCCCGCACTTTTAAACGCCTCGCGCTAAATGCTTTCAAGCTATCTATTCCGGTTCAGTGATTTTGCACTTGCTCTATTACTATAGTACTATACCGCCTTCAACATTTATGAACGACTGGGTGTTTACAGTTAGCGATTTGTCGTATTATCTGGCTGTATAGCAAATGCAAAAGATACAATTACTTTACTATGCAAGTAAAACATTTGTGTTCTCATATTTACGTGTTTTTTTTTTACTTAGGGCCCCTTTATAACATATGCTAACAGGCCCCGCACTAGCTTTATCCGGCACTGTGTCAGACGCGTGTGTGATGAGTCTGCCCGGCGTGCGAACTCCCCACGGCAACGCCCCCTGATCACCCACCCGCACTAAGTGCTGCAAAGTCGGCAGGAGCCGGAATGCACCGGCCAGAGCGTGCACCTGTCATCATCGTCACAGCCAAACATCGGTGGCGAGCGATATCGGAACCGGCCCTCGACCTCCACCAATTACCCCCATTGACCAGGGTGGTGAAGTATAGTCGAACAGCCCCCAATTGACCGACGCGGCATGGGAAGAACTTCACTGGCCGATGGATTGATTAACGAGTGCCAACTTCAAGAATCATAATCGGTTTTTGTGCCAGACCGCCGCGTTAGTACAATGTGTGTTGTACACCCTCCTCCACACGACACAGCCGATTAACAGGTGTTGTCGAGTGATGAAAAAACGTGTCATCGTATTACTGCTTCACCACAGCGGTGTGTAGGAGAGCTGTAAGCTATTATGAATGTTTAGAGTATTTGGCTGATATTCATTTTCACATGACAAGCCACTTTGTTGAGCTGTCGTTTGTGGCCAGATCGCTTCTGAAAAAATAAGTTAATAGCTCAGTGGGCTTTCATTTGTAGATTTTTTTAAAGTGATTCGTTTACGTTCCCTATACTCCGATCGTGAGTTGTCACCGTTTATTATTTTAACGTTCTGACCCCATGCCCCGACTCGACGTCTGTGACACAGAGCTTTATGGCGCATCGGATTCCTCCAGCATGAATACACATCCTGATTCCGCATCACGATTATTGGCATGATGATCGTGACCAATCGTTCCTCTTTGAATTCCAAGGAGGGCAGCACGGAGCACGTGACCTTCGCTCAGGTGCACACGACCTGCCGAGACCGGCGGCGCCCGGCAGCCTCCGTGTCTCTGCGATGCCGACCGCACCGGGAGCAGCCGGTAACCATCTGCGAATGCTCCCCACCCCCCACCCCCTCCCTCACCCCCCAGAGCTGGGCTGGAGGAGGTGGAATGTTTCTGGCGTGGCAATAACGACAGCGACAGCGTGTTGCTAATTTTAGAAGCACGGACTCGCAGCCGATGGGGAAAGGGGCCGTCCATAAATGACGTCACGCGATTTTGGACGATTTTTTACCCCCCCCCCCCCCCTCGTCACACGGCGTCACAAAAAGTCAGACCCCACTCAAATATGATGTCACAAAGCTCTGCCCCCCCCCCCCCCCCCCAATAAAACATGCTTCAAATCGCTTTAAACTATTGTCATTGTAGTGCGTATTTAATGTGGCGCTGCCCTCTGATGTTGTAGGAGAAAACATTTATTTAAAAGTATATTTAATTAAGTAGAACGTGTTATCTATATTTATTTAAAGTTGCGCATTTTGATGTGACGTCACATTTCTCAACCCCCCCCCCCCCCCTCGTCACACATCGTTACAAATGTCTGACCCCCCACCCCCCCCTAGGTGCGTGACGTCATTTATGGACGGCCCCAAAGTGGAAAAGGCTTTACACTTCCTGGCAATGAAAGAGGTGTTAAGGCCGTGCGCCTTTTGGCGTCCTCTGGTCTAACGCCGTTTGAGACGAGGCTCAAAAGAAAGCTGTCTCTGATGTGGACCAATCAGTTTCAAGGACAATGCATTTTTTATCAGAGTGTGTTTTATGTTTGCATTCTGACCACAATCATTGTGGTTATTGTAGACATGATTCCTAACATCTTAACACCTGTTTTTTTGCCAGAAAAAAGGGGAAAAACCTATTATCACGTTTAAACATTGTTTATTTTTATTTTTAAACGCCAGATGTTTAAACATCTTAACGCGGTGGCGGTCAGGGGAGGCAGGAGAGGTAGAGCCTCACCTGTCATACTCCAATGAAAATATCTGTTACGAAAAGTAGATTTTTTTTTTATTTTCCCACTGCTCTGTATTATGTCATTGCTTACGAGGGGGATCTTTGCCTTTGGCACCAAAGGCATTATGTATGCACGGAGTATGGTGACTGACCCCGTCCCCAGCGCTGAGGTCTCCACGGACTGCACGGCCACGAGCGCTCGAACTCACTGCGACCTTCGCCTCTCTCTTTCTCTCTCTTCCCGATCGCAGGTCGCTCCGTCAAGCGTGTACCTGTGCAGCAAAGGCGGTAAGCCGGCCGATTCCGTTGCCAAGCGGCGTAACTAACCGCCCTGTTCACCCAGGAGAGCCTCACTGAGTCTCAGAGCAATTTCAGGAGGGTCCTGCCAAGTGTTTGCAGTCGGGGGAGATGTTGAAATGTTTAATCCAAAACTGAGTCATTTGCAGGGATGTCATCATCATCCTCATCACGGTCCGTGAGCAGATATCCCCGTAGGTGTCCACTGCACATTTCGTCATTTGTTTCCACTTTTCCCTCTGTCTTGTGCCAATATGCTGAAGTAGTGCCACTTCTTTCTGGCACCAATCTCTAATGTCATCACGCCATTCCCTGTTTGGTCTTGCTCTCTTTCCAGTTACTTCCATTTTTCCAAACAATTCACTTAAACATTTTCTGTTGTTATCCATCCTACGTATGTGTCCAATTAGTGCCAGTTTCCTTATCATCACTGCCTGCATCAGGTATTCATCTACGTACAACCTTTTCCTACATCAATGTTGGTCACTCGATGATAGCTGGCACCAAACTGTGCCACACGCCCTCTGGCATGACCTTATGGGAGCATCGGTACGTCTTCCGACCTGAAGATGTACCGATAAAGTTATTTAATTTTAGTTTTTCTTCGGATTTTGTTCCGATGACACGGTTACGTGTACGTCATCGGAACGGAATCGGAAGAAAAAAACTGGGAAATGGTTCAATGCATCACAGCTCCATGTCAACCACGATCCACTAACTCCACGTCCATGTCGCTGGGTTCATAAATAGCAAGGATTTAAATTTCGATTGAAAGCTTTCGTGACTGCAGGGATTCATATTATTGGTCCTTTCGGTAAAGTCACGTAGAAGGGAAATAATAAAATAATATAAATATAAAACATAATAAAATTCTCACGACCTTTCGACTGCAACACACCTGATGATGATTGCTTGTGTTGCAGTCGAAACGTCGTGAGAATTGTTATTGTTCATATTTATATTATTTTATTATTTCCCTTCTACGTGTTGCGCTGTGCAGAAATAATTCCCCTGTCGCTGGCAGGCTGGGGTAGGTGGCACGTGGTGAGTAGTTACAGCCATAGCGAAGTGATATACTTCATGCGGTGTGCCGGGTGTGAGATATTTATTTATTTATTACTCCCCGTGCAGGTGACATCGCGTATGGCGTCACGTCGTGCGGAAGCCCCATGCGGATGATGCTGCGGCTGCCCGCGGATGCTGGCTGCGGCGAGGATGCGAACGGAACTTCTGACGACTTCTCCTCGACCCCAGGCACGGCTGGAGGACAGGTCTGTGCGATGTGTGGGGCGGCGGCTTTAACGTGCGCAATCTTCGCCGGCGTGAATGAACCCCCACGCTCCAATTTGTAAAAGTCGGCGGAGCCGTTTCCGAAATAGGACTTTTGTCCAATAGCTCATTACATTCATTATCCTTAATGTGCGCGGGTAATACGGTGGCAATGTGGCGGTAATTGAATGCTGACCTTCCAATTCCTATTCCACTGGCTCGTGTCTTGCGCGTGGCACTAATTGATCGTGCGATTGTGGAATCCGGTCCACGTGTTTGGCCGTGCAGAGACAAGCGGGAGCAACGAAATAAAAGCGTGGTGCTCGTGCTGCTTTAGGTGACTTCAAAATGCGGGTTGTGTTGTGCTTCACCAGCTGAATGGAGCCGCGCACGCGTCTCGCTTTGATTCATTGGCTCGCGGCAAACTTTTTAACATTTTTGGTTTAACACGAAGGTTTCCCTGATCAATATTATCCACGGTGGAGGCTTTCGGGTTAGATCGCGTGAATATAAACGTGTGTCGTTAAACCCGCCACCACCCAACACAGCCAATTAGTAGGGTTTGCCACGTAAGCAAGTGGCATATGTTGTGCACGTGACGAACCTTACTAATTGGCTGTGTCGTGTGGTGGCGGCTTCAATGGCACATTTATATTTACGAGATCTAACCCAAAAAATTCAAGTATGGATTTTAACATGTTTATTTAAACTGCTTACAGTAAGCGGTGGAGAACGTTGCCCTTTGCAGTTGGCCGCATAGAACTTCCGGATCACCTTTTATGGGCCGCACGTGAATGTGCAGTAATAATAACGCAAACAAATGTGTGGTTCGTATCATAATGATACCGTGTGTGTCGACCAAGCATAGAGCAGCCCTTGGAATGCAAAACATGACTGAGTGGCGCTCAACTTAGAGGAGCAGCGTTGTTGCCAAGTCCAAATTATTTCCCTCCAGTACCCGACCAACGTGGCCAAGACCCCGGCGGTAACAGATACGAGCCCTTGTGTCTGTTACCACTGACGTGGTAGTAGGCTCCTTGTGGTCGCACCTCCCATCAGCATGGTTGGCGACGTATGGCGCGAAAGAAGTTCAACATGCATGCGCACGTGAGCGCAATTGGCGAGTGCGAGATTGTTCGCTTCCGTTTGACTTTTGGGGCGAAACTACTTCGATGTCTCCATCATCATCACCATCACCATCGTCGCGGACAACAGCAGTGCAAAGCAGTGACTGTTGCCACAGCTCAATTTCTCGTTGAATATTTGTTTGGCTCGATGGTGAACCTGAGTCGGCTCACGATTGGCAGCCGCAGCCGGAGCGAGCGGCATACCGGATGTGGTGTGCCGGGCGCGGACCGCACCGACGTACGCCCCAGCCCCTCCCGGGGGTACTGCTCTGTTCCCGCAGGCGCCGATCGCTGCCTCCGCTGGCGCGACCGTGGTGTGCGCGAACGCGGCGCTCTGCGCCAACTCGTCGGAGCCGCGCTCGCTCGGCCTGGCGTGGGGTCGCGCGTTCACCGTCTTGCTGCGGCCTGCGGTGAGAGCTTCCACGTCTCGCTCGGTCCGCCCAGGGAGACTGCGGCGACCCGGGTGGGGTGGCACGTCGTGGCGAGCCAGCGGTGGTACCACGGAACGCGGTGTGCTGGTTGCGCTGAGATGTGGGGTTTTTTTTCCGGGTCAACCGACCGGGACTGATCCGTACACCCGTGCGTAACCATGTCGTGCCCGGATACCCGAGTTCGATTCTGGCGTGCGATGTATCCGAACCGATCCTGGGTTCTCTCCCACCACCTCCACGCCCGTTCAGTAACCCGCACTGACCAGCGTGGTGGAGTTGTGGTCACGTGGGATGTGGTGCGGAGAGGCCTTCAGCAGTGGACTGACAAACGGGTGTCGATTATTCATGCATACGCAGCACTGTGTGTTGCATTTCAGAAGAATAAACATCAATTATTGTTCTCGATTTATTCAGAAATGACTCGACTCAGTTCCAAGGCTCATTCCGTAGAGGTGCGGCGTTGAGATGTTTGACCAGTTAGTGATTTGTGTTTGGGAGGAAATCAAAGTATCCGGTGAAACCCACGGGTTCGTGGAGATAATGCTCTTCGTGTATGTGTGCAAAGCGCGAATATTACGCTTTAATAATGACAATGTCCTTGTATTTCCCAATGAAATTAAAATGTCTCATTTCCCTGCGCAGGATGCCGTTGAAGAAGAATTTGGTAAGTTTTAGAGTCACTTGCAGTCTTATTATCATCATCATCACCGCCGTCATCATAATCGTCGTCGTTAAGCCACAAGGTGTTCATCTGCACGTGTACGCAAATGATGTAGTTGGCACGGTGGAGTGCAGTGGTGTCTTTTAAACGCGATTATAACGATGTTAATACAGATATTAATAATAATGATGATGGGAGTTTCTTCCTGCTTTATTCTGATGGCTGAGAGCTTCTAAGAAACCCCGTGGTTTCTCGCAGGAATCACCGATTTTGCGATGTGCATTTAAGCAGCTCCATCGCCCCAGTACGTCGCCGATTGCACACTCCTCCTCCTCTCAGCGCCCAAGCGCCGTCACCGTTGATGAACGTGCTGAGTCGTTGTGTTACAATTTGTACTCGCCGCACCGCTCGCCGACGCATCGCCGCCTAACGACTCTCATCCGATCCATCGAGCGACGTCAATTCATTCGCCCAAGCTGCCCGCGATGGAACGCGTGCGGATCGGTTCCGTGCGGTCCTCTTTCCCGTGTGGGTGCACGCGCGCGCCTCTCCGCGCCTCCTCCTCCCGCAACACTTCGGCTTTCGTGCTGCCTTTTCTCCGCCAGCGTCCGCGACGGGAAATCGCGCCTCCGATTAGCAGGGTATGGCTACGTACGGTGCGAAAGAAGTTCAACATGCGTACACACACAAAGACAAAGATCCCCCGTATAGGCTTAACAGGCAAGTTGGGACAAGTGCTTTAAACGAGCAACAATGAAGGGGGCGGCACGGCACACGAGAAGGTGGGTGGCCAGCACCACCCGCGGCCGCCTTTGTCTCCCCAGTAGCGATGTTTACTCACTACATCAGGTACTCATTTGAGGCTGAGTCGACATAGGGTGGGGGGGCCTAGAACCGGTTGAGAATTAGCACTGCTGTCGGCCGTGGGGCGGGAATTTAACTCGGGTCGCCGGGCGCATAGCACAGTGCGCTAACCGCTACACCACAGCTCCTCACACACACGTACACACGTACGTACACACACGTACACACATGTACGTACACACACGCACACGTACGCACACACGTACGTACACACACACGTACAGACAAAGTACCGACGCGCGTGTTCTCTCGCCACGTGCGCAGCGTCCGTGGAGCGCATGGCGGATGTGGCGAGCGAGCGGCCACACCCCGCGGACAGGAACACGCTCTTCCACGGTGAGTCGCCGCGCAGCTAGAGCTAAAGGTGCCGTCCCTCATAGCTCTTGCTTTTGCCTCTGCCGCAGGTAGAGCCTCACCCCCCCCCCCCCTCTCTCCCCCCAACCTCCAGAAGCTCCGTGTGGCTTTGCTCTTCCATGTTGACAGTTCGGGCGCACGACCGCAGGCTCCGTAATGCCCCTTGGCGTGCGTCCCTCTGCGCAGGTGTGGTCGCCTTCCTCGTCTGCGTGGGAGTCGCCCTGCTGGCCCTGCTCGTCGTCTGGACCAAACGTGAGCGACCGGCGCGTGGCCCCCGTGCAAGGAGCGACATGGAGAGGGGGCATCTAATTCCGACCCCCTCCCCCCCACCACCCCCCCCCAACGGTGCCCGGGGCCCATCCAAACCAGGGGCCCCCCGTGACCCTCATGAGCCCCACGTGGGCCCCCGTTCATGATGAGTCCCAGTTAGAACGAAACCGGTTTATTTTTGACAAACGCATGGCGCGAGCGGTTGGTCAGGAAATGAGTCGGCGCCCCCGCCACAAGATTTGGTTAACGTTCACAGTTCAAGGTTATGGTTCGATTCAGGGATGACCGTTACAACGCGGCACGTGCCCCGTTATAACGCGGTTTCTGAGCGGTCGACGACGAACTACTTTCTTGAGCTGCGCGTCTGAGTGGTGTGGGATGTTCTGGGTTTACGCGCGGAATGGTACGAGTGGACGGCCCCGATCTAGCTTCTCTGTCCCGCCATCAGGTGACTGCAGGCTGATTGTATAGTGCGGATGTGATTTTTAAAAATGCACGTTATTTTTACTCGTGTACTTTGGCACTGCAATGTAATTCCTCGCTTAAAGCCTTAACGCGGCGCTCTTCAGGAATGCATCTACCGCGTTCAATGAGGAATTACCGTACATGCAAGAATGCATTTTTATTTGAGTGATGAGCATTGTTTTTTCCCTCCAATTCGTACGTCTAATCGGAAGCACATTTCTATCGCACTAACAGTGTGTGTGTGTGTGTGTTGTTTTTGTAACACACAGGGCAAAGGTCACAGCAGCGAACGGGGCCTGGCCAAAAGGACATCACTGTTCAAGAGGCGCAATTTGCTTGAATACATTTCTCCCATTCAGCTTTGTAGAATGTTAGGGCAAAAACGCTGTTAGCGAGCGCCGGTTAAGGCCAACGCAACACACGACGAGTACGCGCACACGGATCTGCGATGAACCCGCGATTTATCCGTGGGACGATTATCCTAGCTGCGGATTAACCGTGCTCATGTGAAGAAAAAAAAGGATACCTGTGTAATGTAACCACTCTCTAGACATCAACTGTAGGGGCTTCTCCTTTATTCCTTCACACTCACACGACGACAACTCGGCAGTACGGAATATAACGCTGACAGTCTAGCTATGATGGCGCTGACCTAACTAGATAGCCGGTTGACTGTCTAGCGACGGCGACGACGAAGCGATGACAAAGACCACAGGGACGACGAAGATGACAGCGACGACGACCCCCACGACAGCCCAGAACCCCGTTCCTCGCTCCCTTTTATTCTCCCAGCGTGGCCGTGGCTCCGCCCTGGCCACGCCCCCTTTCTCGAACTCTCTGGTGGGTTCTGGGAGCTCCCTTGGCCTAAATGTTCCCCCTTGTGGTCGCTCCCGTGTATCTGTCCTCCCTTCTGCCCATACTGCTCCCACACCCGCAATTACCACTTCTGGCCGCCAGTCAGCGCACTGTCTCTACACCTGTACACACGGCAATTTCATCGCGAGCTGCTCCTCAAACGTCGTGGGTCGGCGACTCAATGCCCACGTGACCGTAAATGCGTCGGCGAGTCATGCGATTGTTTTCTGCAATGATGATTGGAATACAAAGTTACTCTTTTGTGGGATACAATATCGATTGAGTATCAATAAAAGTTGCAATAACTTGACTTTAAAGATACCCGTATTGAGATACCGCATAGAGACCCATCTAAAATGTACACACATCAAACAGTAATAATTATGTCGCGCATAAAATGCATCCATTGGCTGAAAACATCCTAATACACAGAGAACCGCAGAGCTTTGGAAATTGTTGGTCGCTCCGGCTCACCGCGTGGCTTGCCTTCCCGTTTGTGGTTCCCTGGCGACTTGCAAGAACGATGCCCCCCCGACCCCCCCATCCCCACATACTTCAGCCCCCCCTGCCCCGCCCCTCTCTGACCCTCCACACCCCCTCCACCCCTCCCCTCCTGCCAACCTGCAGCCGCTGTTCTCAGGAGTTAAGATCGAATTCTCTGATTTAGTTGCTTCGTTTGCGAGCACTGTGCCCGATGCCGAACGCTGTCCCCTGGATGTGTTGTTGTTTACGTTGTCGCGATATCTGCACACTCTGTAACGCCGCTAATTAAGGAGAAATAACAACGCTCGTTTTGTATTAAAGCTCATGAAAGATGTGGACTTCCAACCGCTCATGCTGCAGGTTCGTGGGTGATCTGTTGTGAATTGTAACGTGAATGAACCTCGTTGCTTCGGTGAGGTGTTGTTACGTCCACACGGTGGGGCAGAATTGCGGCACACGTGCGTGCGTTTCGAAACCTTGAAATAATTTAAAACACTTTCGTTGATGAAGCTGTATTAGTACAAACCCCCGCAGGCACAATGAGTGTTGTGGCACCAACACAACTGTGAAACGGCACACCCACGTGTGTTATGAATGCGCCCCACAATTCATGAATGTAAGCCAACATTATTACGCGCACCGTTTTCGGATGGCGTAAGAACAACTCGGGTGAAGTGGACAAACAAATGGAGAAGAATCGATCACAGTTTGGCTTTTTTAATGTTGTTCTCTCAATTGTTGCGTATGCTGTCTAGCACTGTCAATTTTTGACCACTGCATTTGGTCTACAATCGCTGCTTTGCTGAGTAATTCTCTCAAATTCCACCTTTGCTCTGGTGCCTCGCGTCGTTCTGCATGCGAGGCGCGGTATCAACACGAGGCGATAATTTTGTGATGAAGCATAAACCATCATCACACGAACCCCGATCATCCTCGCAGCAGCAGACGGTCACTACATCGTGCGGCGCTTTCAGACGTGCTTCTGCGGCCGTCTGGAACGCTCTTCCTTCTGATATTAGGAAGCCACTGGAGCTATGCACTTTTACATCGACACTAAAAACGAATTTCTTTAAAACTGATTTTTTTTTTCTGTTTAGTCTGTTGTCCTTCCCCCGCACCTCCGATTAGCACAGTTGGCTACGTACGGTGCGAAAGAAGTTCAACATACATAAATACATACCCCGCCTCTCATCGCTTTGCTGGATGATTCATAACTCATATTAGATGTTTGGGGTCAGATTACGTAAGCAAAAAGTGCGTCGCAAAACCGCTCCTCCACCCGCACAGCCAATTAACAAAGTTACGGTCACGTGAACGCACATTTCCCGTCCGTGATCTGACCCTTAAAAGTCAACTGCGACTCGTGTAGGTCGTGAGGTGCGTGTGTTACAACTCTGCTTGGATGCGTTTTAAAACAGAGACGCGTCCGGCGCTCGCCGATGTTATTCTGTAAATCGTCTCACGATCCCCTTGGTGATGCCGTGTGTACTTTGTGGGGGGGTGGGGGGCTTCTCTCTCTGGTACGGGGCAGTCGGAAGGGTCCTCGAACATCCAGAGACAAACCCTTCACTCGCCGCCGTCTTGTTTGAACATACATTCAGGGCCCCCTTCCTTCACCCCCCTCCACTCAATATCCAAGCAGCGCGTTACGCCACCACGCACTCGACACGGAGTACAGATTTACGCGTGCGTGTGTGTGGTTGTGTCTCTCTATCTTCGTCTTGCGTGGAAAAGGCTCGGGAAGGACGCTACTGGTCAGTTGGTTGGCAGTCGCCCTCCAACAACAACGGCGGGCAGAGGAGCGATGCTCACAACAACGAGCGGCTAAAATACAGCAAGTTGGCACAGTGGGGAGCACGGCTGGTGCATCTGCCAGTAATCTCAGTCAACCCGTGGCACCTGGGTCAGTCCCGTGACATGCCAGCTGAGCGTTGGAAACTTCACGTGGCCTCAAAGTGCCTCAAAGTGCACCTGGCCTGGCACAGGCGCCGTAGTGACGTCATCGTCACTAAGTGACGAATGGCGTGTGGTTTTGGTATTGGTATGGAGCAGTGGCACAGTGGTTAGCGCACTGCGCTACGAACCCGGCGGCCCGAGATCGAGTCCCACTCGCGGCCAACACCAGTTGATTAATTATATCTGAACCGGTCGTGGGCTTCCTCTCGGTCGACTAAGCCTCAAATGAGTACCTGGGCGCGGTGTGTAAACATCGCCACCGGGGAGACAAAGGCGGCCAGACGTGGTGCTGGCCACCCACCCCATTGCGTGCCGCTCCAGCCTTCGCCAGAGGTGCTCGCTAACAGCACCTTGCCCCCCCGAACAGTCTGTTAAAGGCCATAGGGGCGATTCCTCTTTGTATTTCTTCGTGTGTCGGACAGTTCATGTGCAACTATTTTGGTTGCTTAGCGATAGAGCGCCAGAGAGGAGGCGCCGTGGGTGGAGATGGAGCGCGAGGGCGAGCTCGCGGGAACGCAGCAGCGCTTGGATTGTGGCGGTCGCGGGGACGCGTTCATTCGGTAGTGGATAGAACATGACTGAGGGTCGCGTCAAGTCACTGGGCGTTGACATGACAATGGAAGTGTGTAACGCGTGTCGGAGTTTGCCTTTGAATTGGATTGGATTCTGGTGAATACGCGGGTGAATGTGGAATGATGCGCGTTTGTGTTTGTGCCCAGTCTGCTGCAAGGCCCGTTCACATCGGCTGACCAATAATTTGCTACCACTGCTCAATAAATATCGCCTGCCTAATGATTTTTTACGTAAAATGTCATTCCGTGGTTCTAGTGAAATACGGTTTCGATATTTTGTAAGAAAAATCAAATACGGTCGGTTTTTTCAAATATTAATCAAAATATGCTCATACTAGTGAGAAGGAATGGATGGCAATTATGAAGATAAAGATTGGGTGGATGTTCCTTGAGAAGACAGTCGACAATGAGTCGGTGGATGATGATGACGATGATGGGATCATGGAGGAGGAGTGGATGGAGGAAGAGGATGAGTGTTGGGCGGATAATGTTGACGGTGGTGATGATGTGGAGTTGGACAAATATTGATGGTCACAGATTTTTAAAAATATCCACCACCGCACTTGGAAACGCCGCGCGGTCACCGTCACGACCACAGAGCGCCTGGAGAGCTCTCACGCGGCCAGGGGCGTGCGGAGGGGTGAAGTGTGCGTCTAGGGGGAGGCGACGAGGGGAGGAAAAGGGGGGGTACCTTAAATGCGGAGGGGACCAGCGGGAAATCAGCAGAGAACCCCGAGGAGACCCCGCTACCCGCGCCTCGACTGGTCACCCCACATCGCCGATGAAGGTAGTTGCGCTGACGGACACTTCACTCTCAACGCTCAGTGCCCTACATCGCGAGGAGAACGATGAATACACAACAACAACGACAACATCATGCTGAGCGCCGATTGCCAATCCACTTCTGGATTTGGGATTGTCCGTGACCTTCACCACGCTGGTCAGTGCGGGTTGGTGGATAGGAGACCCCGGGACTGGGTCCGATATTATCAGCCACCTGATGTTGAATGTGGAACAGGAATCTAACTCGGGTGGATGGCTTCATAGCGCAGTGCGTCTCCACTCACTCCACTCTGACACTGTCACTTGTCGAAATCGGCATGAACATTCTACGTAACTTTAAATCAAAATAAAAAACAATCAGCGCATCTTTGGGGGGGGGGGAGGGTGATCGCCGTTGGTCAAGACTAACAACGGAACGGCAGTCAAATGAGTTTGCTGTCCTTATCACACACCTGCGATTAGCACGCTTGGCTACGTACGGTGCGAAACGAGTTCAAGATACAGTACAGCTGAGTACACTCAACAACACGCGCAGAGATGCAACGATGAGATCAACTCGTGCTGCGGCGTTTTGTGAACAAGTTACATCGCAGGGCCGCGAGAGATGACGACGCTTTGGAGAGGCCTTCATCCAGCAGTGGATTGACCCTGGATGATGATGATGACGATGATGATTTCGTGTTGTTCAAGGGCTTCAAGAAGTCGCGGCGGGGAACAATCGCGCTCATAGCGGCTGTCTTCTGTCTGGCTGGTAAGAGGCTCCTAACGAGATTTGTGCCACACGGGTTCGACCCGGGATCCTGTGTCCTGGAGGAGGCCAAAGGCCGGTTCAGATAATCATCACCGGTGTTGGCCGTGAGCAGGAATCGAACTCGGGTGGCCGGCTTCGTAGCGCAGTGGGCTAACCGCTACACTAACATTGTGTTCCCTCCAAAGATCCCCCGTATAGCCTTGAACAGACTGTTGGGGCAAGTGTTGTTAGCGAACACCTATGAAGGCCGGCACGGCACACGAGGGGGTGGGTGGCCAGCACCATGCCCGACCGCCTTTGTCTCCCGAGTGGCGATGTTTACTACACACCACATCAGGTACTCATTTGAGGCTGAGTCGACCTAGGGGACGCCCAGAACCGGCTCAGATAATCGTCACTGGTGTTGCCCGTGAGCGGGAATCGAACTCGGGTGGCCGGATTCGTAGCGCAGCGTAGCGCTAACCGCTACACTGCCGTTGTGTTCCCTCCGCACACTCTCTGACAGACGTACGCGGACCGACAGGACCAGTACACACAGCATGCCCAGGGCACACACACACACACACTATTCAGCACAGCACGTGTGTTGTAGGAGCGTATTCCAAGCTACGAATTCGACCGAGACACAAACACGGCGCCGTAATCACTGAGCCAGGCCGTGGGGCTTTAACGCAGGAGATGAACAATTCATTCACGAGCCCTCCCTACCCGCTGGACCAACGTTGACCCAACGTTAGCCTAACATTAGTCCAACGTTCCGCGCGCTTGCTGGGCTGACATTGGGCCCACATCCAGTATTAAATGTTCGGACCACTTTTGCTGCAAATGGCCTCTGCTGATGAGTGATAACGGAGCCCAGCAGCAGCTGGCCACGACACCCGACTTAAATAGGAGCACGGTGTCAGCCGCGCACGATCCAAGCAAATCATAACAGGCGCAAAAAAACATCCTGCTTAGCTTCCACGATGTAGCGCAGGCGTCGGAAACCTGCGGTTCCGGAGACGCATGCGGCTCTTAAATGGGACTGCTTCGTGACGCGCTAATTTATCGATGATCGTCTCGTATTCGCATGCCATTGCGGCTCCTTGAAATATCGAGGGGTTGTTTTTTTTTTTGCGAATTTGAAAAAAAAATGTCTCTTCTTGTTTTATTTTGCTTACCGACCCGTAATCTAGCGTGATCGAGGGCATTCCGGGAAACGTTGTCATATGATGTTTGCGTCATTAAAAAGCAATATCTGGTTAATTAGTTAGTTTACATTGATCGATGTGGGAAAGACGGGGAGGGGTGACCAGCGAAGCCACTGTGGTGGTGGATCCGTGTCCTTGTACCACAGCTGGGACCTCCGTGTCGCGAGCGCAGACGCCGTGCGGAGGGAACTTCACGGACAGCAATGGAATCATCGAGACGCCCAACTTCCCGGGACTCTACCCGCCCATGCTCAACTGCCTCTGGGTCATTCAGGTGCGGGTCGTGAGTTTTACACCGATCACGAGAAATCGCTCGGCTCAATTGTTATACCCGATCGTTATGTTTTTATTTAAAGCTTTCGTGACTGCAGGGATTCATATTCTTGGTTCTTTCGGTAAAGTCACGTAGAAGGGAAACAATAAAATCCTAAAAATATAAAACAATACAATTCTCACGACGTTTCGACTGCAACACAAGCAATCATCATCAGGTGTGAAAAACACAGCAATATATTTTTTTTAAGTGGCGGATTTTTCAAATTTTCTTGCTGTGTTTTTCACACCTGATGATGATTGCTTGTGTTGCAGTCGAAACGTCGTGATAATTTTATTGTTTTAGATTTTTATTATTTGATTGTTTCCCTTCTACGTGACTTTACCGAAATAACCAAGAATATCGATCGTTATACTTACAGGGTAACTATTCATATGCCAATAAAACAAAAAATATGTTCACCGGGAAATACGTTATTATTAAGTGTGATTCTTTTCAGGCCCCATGATGTATCGTGCAATGTCCGACTATTATAGACTGCATCTGTCTGGCCTCTCGCAGGGGCTTTTGACTGGCCATCGAGCAAAGACGGGCACCGCATCGCGTGCTTTCACATGCGCGTCTGCGACCGTCGAGAACACTCTTCTGTCTGATAGTAGGAAGAGGCTGGAGCTTTGTGTTTTTAAATCTCGGTTTAAAAACTAATTTCTCCAGAACGTATTTTTTATGTTTAGGCTGTTGTCCTTCCCCCACCTCCGATGAGCACGGTTGGCTACGTACGGTGCGAAAGAAGTTCAACATATATACATATATGTTGAACTTCTTGTGGCAGCCAAAATACTCTAAACGCATGCTTCTACATGTGGAGGGAACAAACCGGAAAACCCGGGGAAAAATCCACGCGACCACGGCGAGAGAGACACGCAAACTCCAAATATACAACAGCCGGCGTCAGGGTCGGGATCGAAACCCACGATCTCCTGTACACCAGGCGAGGTAGTTAACATCTCCTAGCCTTCGTGATGATGATGAAAGAGAGACACGCAAACTCCAAATATACAACAGCCGGCGTCAGGGTCGGGATCGAACCCACGAGATCTCCCGTATATCAGGCGAGGTAGTTAACATCTCCTAGCCACTGTGATGATGAGAGAGAGACACGCAAACTCCAAATATACAACAGCCGGCGTCAGGGTCGGGATCGAACCCACGATCTCCTGTATATCAGGCGAGGTAGTTAACATCTCCTCGCCACAGTGATGATGATGATGAGATAGAGACACGCCAACTCCAAATATACAACAGCCGGCGTCAGGGTCGGAATTTAAACCCACGACCTCCTGTATACCAGGCGAGGTAGTTAACATCTCCTAGCCATCGTGGCGTCGACGCTGCCACTGCTGCTGCTGTGATGACGACGCTGAGACCAACACTGCCGCTACTGCCACTGCTTCTTCGATCGAAAACGGAGCCCCCCCCCTGCCACCCCCGCCCCCGGGGGGGGGGGGGTGTCCTCTCGCTCTCGCTCGCCACCAGTCCTCGGACCGACGCGGCGTGGTCATCATCAGCGTCATTGACTTCGAGCTGGAGGAGTCGGACGCGTGCGTCTTCGACAAACTGCGCATGGAGGCGGGAAATCCGCCGGGTCCGCCTCGCCTCTACTGCGGCGGGGACTTCGAGCGGCGCTACGGAGTGTCGGAGATGCAGGCGATCGGGCGCATGACGCTGCAGTTCAACAGCGACGAGTCCGTGGAGCTGCGCGGATTTCGAATCGGCTTCTGGGGTGGGTGCATCGCGCGCCAACGCGTGCTGCCGCGGATCTCTTTTTTCAAATCACATTGCAGGACTGGCAGAGCGGACGAGTCTGTTAAGAGCGTAATGGCCATTGCCACCGTCGTAACGTAATGGTAAATGTTAATCACATTTCGCTGGAGGGGTAGGGGCGGCGTGCAGTTGATCGTGTGGGGAGCGGTGGTGTAGCGGTTAGCGCGCTGCGCTATGAACCCGGCGACCCGAGTTCACGGCCAACAACACACGTAACGAATATCTGAACCGGTCCTGGGCGTACCCCAGGTCGACTCAGCCTCAAATGAGTAACTTAGTACGATGTGCAAACATCGCCACTGGGGAGACAAAGGCGGCCGGGCGTGGTGCTGGCCACCCACCGCCTCGTGTGCCGTGCCGGCCCTTCAAAGGTGCTCGTTAACAGCACTTGCCCCAACAGTCTGCTAAGGCTATACGGAAGGATCCGTATCTTTGTCTTTCTGTTTGTAGCCACACGTGCTGTTGGTCGCGTCACAATCGATTCCGGCGGATTCGCGTTGACTCCTCACTCCCTCCTTCCTCGCAGTCGAAGACCCGCTCCAGACATCCCCGCTGCCCACAACCACCTTGGCCACGACCCCCACCACCCCGGCCACCACCCCAGGTACCCGGGGGCTCTCACTCGCGCCAAGGGGTTCGTGAACCCGTCTGCTCTGCACCTCTGGGCGTTCAACCCTCCGAGTGCCGGTGGCACTTTCCAATGGCCGTGGAAACGTCGCGTTTGTCACGTGTTTCCCGAACACCCCCCCCCCACACACATACGAACACACGTACGCACGTACACGCACACATATACACGCACTCACAGGTACACACACGCGCGTATACACACGCACGTACACACACATAAGAACACACACGCGCACACGTACGCATACACACGTACACACATACACACATACAAACGTATGAACACGTACGCGTACACACACGCACACACACGTACGATCACACACGAACACACACGCGCACACGTACGCATACACACGTACACACATACAAACGTACACACACGTACACATATACACACGCGCACACACACGCACACGCAGTCACACACGTACGCACGCACACACACGTACACACACATACAAAGACAAAAATCATCCGTATAGCCTTAACAGACTATAGGGGCAGGAGCTGTTAGCGAGCACCTATAAAGGCCGGCACGGCAGACAAGTGGGGTAGGTGGCCAACACCACGCCCGGCCGCCTTTGTCTCCCTAGTGGCGACGTTTACACATCGCACCAGGTACTCCTTTGAGGCTGAGTCGACCTAGCGGAGACCCAGGACCGGTTCAGATAATCGTCACTGGTGCTGGCCGTGAGCGGGCAACGAACCCGGGTTGTCAGGTTCATTGCGCACCGCACTAACCGCTACACTACCGCTCCCCACTACCACACACACGCAGGTCAATGCCAGCCTCTCGAAAACATAGACAACGGTCGTCTGCTGGTCACCTCCTACGAGGTGGGCGGCGTGGCCTCGTACGCGTGCCGGCCCGGATTCCGCATGGTGGGCGCGTCCAACCGAGTGTGCGAGGCGAGCGGCCGGTGGAGCGGCTCCGTGCCCGTGTGCCGCGCACGACCCACGACAGGTTGGATTCCCCACTCGGGTCTGTGTGGGGCGTTTTATTACACTGGACACTGGTCAACACACTTTTTCTGGCATAAGGGATTCCAACGGTCTTAAGGTCATTTTTGGGTGCTGATTCCAAATCTATCACATCAGGTTTTTGAGATATCAAATATTGCATTTTCAATAAAAACTGCAGGAGAAAAATATTAAATGTGGATATTTACATAAAATGCTATTATAAACACACTATCCTAAAAATACAGCACCATATTTTAACACTAAAGCAGTCACTGACTCGCAACAACTTGCAATCATAAGTGACAGAGTTAATTTCGGATAAAATCAATGAAGATGGGGTATGCCGATAGCATAAAAATGAGATTTGATAGAGCAAATCTGAGATCAGATTTGGAATCAGCACCCTGAAATTAGTCTAAAACAGTTCCAGGCCAGAAAAAAAAATTGTTGACAGTGTTATTTAACACGCTTTCATTTAACACCCTCTGTCTGTTGTTGTTGTTGTTGTGTCCTCAAATCTTGTAACTCAATTTTAACCCACTTCCCAATGTGGTATCGACTGCAAACTTGGTATACTTATGTCATACTGATGATAATACTATATTGTATCATAAAAAAATAAATATTTTTAAACATTATTTTTTATGTGTTATGAATCGGCTTGGGTCTAATTGTCCACTGTCAACTGACGTTGGCTGTAATTGGCCACGGTCCCTTACGTTATGGCAAATTTCGGGGTCACTTCCTGGAGTCGTGGAGTTCTTCCATTACTAGTACATTTAATAAAAGCGTGTTTTTTAAAAAGTTTTTTTTTTACGACGTGGAGGCGCGGGAGATGGGCGATGGGGGGTTGGACAGTGGTTGCGGGACGGAGGGAAGTTGTCTTGAAGGCGGTGTTGCCTTGGTCTGGGGCCCCTGCACGGAGGCGAGATGTTAACTATCTCGCCTGGTATACAGAAGGTCATGGGTTCGATTCCCGATCCTGACGCCTGTATATATGTGGAGTTTGCGTGTTCTCCCCGTGGTCGCGTGGATTTTTCTCCGGGTGCTCCGGTTTTCCCCTCCACGTTTAGAGTCAAAAATGCGTTTACAGTATTTGGATGCTCTAAATGTGCACGCGATAAGCCGCTTCGTTAAGCTATCAAGTGTGGCCAGGTCGCTTCTTAAAAAGAGCTGTATAGTTCATTGGATGCATGCGTGTTTGTTCAACTTGTTTCGCATTGCACGTAGCCAACCGAATCGAAGTTGGGTGGGAAGAACAGCAACCATCGCTCGCTCCCGGCGGATTAAATGCCCCATGCCACTCTTGCGAATTACACTCATCCTCATGAGACGACCCGCGTCCCTTGAATTGTTACCTGGTCAAACGAAATAAACAACTTGAAACTCCTGTCGGATGGCATGCGGACGGGTGGGGGGGGGGCAGTCGAGTTGTTGGCTGTTGTGTGTGTAGGTGGTGGAGGGGGGGGGCGCAGTAACATGGACAGAGTAAACTTGGGTGGGGGGGGCCTTAGGGACATTTTAGTGGCGCAGGGCACAGCCCAGCAGAGATGGCACTGATCTCGAAACTTCCCGGGAAGACCCGAAATTTCAAGCTTTTTAAATAGGGCCCTACATTAACATATACAAAAAATACTCACCGTATTATATCTGGTGAATATCAATAAAATGCCAATTTTTTGAGGATTTGGATCAGCCACTGGATTGTCGCGCTGCCCATTTGATAATTATTTGTGTCCTGGTGGTTTTTGCCGCACGTGCTCGTTTTCAGTCAACAAAAAAGGGTGGTCAACGTGCCGTAACTTTCGCTTTTCCGCTCAGCGACAACGACGAGTCGAGCCGAGACGTCTTCGTCCAGCGAGCTGCCGACGAACGCGAGCAACGCAGGCAACGCTTCTCTCGGTGAACTCGCAAATCGCAATGCAGTCACAGCCACTTGTTGATTGACCGTTGCAGGTGAGCCGGAATATCACCCTCCACTTGTCATCAATCTCACAGAGCTAGAAAGGGGTTTCCCCCTCCCCCTATTCCTGGATTAGTCCGGCTTCGATATGTTTTACTGAGTGATCTGTGTGTGTGTGAATATACGGATCTGTGTGTGTTTGTGTTAATAGCGGGATCTGTGTTTGTGTGAATAAATAAATCTGTGTGTGTGAATAGAGGTATCTGTGTTTATACTCTTAGGTTTTTTCGGTAAAGTCACGTAGGTAAAACATTTGTATTTTATTTCTATTATTATTTCAATTATTTATTATTTGTTATTTTATTATTTATTTATTACCTACGTGACTTTCCCGAGAAAACCTAAGAGTATGAATCCTTGCAGTCACGAAAGCTTCAAATCTAGAAGTATCTGTGTGTGTGTGTATAAAGGAGTCTGTGTGTGTGTGAATAGAGGTATCTGTGTGTGTGAATAGAGGGATGTGTCTGTGTGTGTGCGAATAGAGGGGTGTGTGTGTGTGAATAGAGGTGTGTGTGTGTGTGAATAGAGGGGTGTGTGTGTGTGAATAGAGGAGTGTGTGTGTGTGAATAGATGTGTGTGTGTGAATGGAGGGATCTGTGTGTGTGTGTGAATAGAGGAGTGTGTGTGTGTGTGAATAGAGGGCTCTGTGTGTGTGTCAATAGAGGAGTCTGTCTGTGTGTGTGTCTTGCGAGAGAAGGCTGTCCAGAACCGGGTCTGCCTCTGGGCGGGTTGGGGCCCCTGCCCGGCCTCTCGCTCAGGTTCCGAGCCGGGGACGTGCTCCGATTCTCGTGCCTCCCGGGATTCGCCATCACGGGCGCCACGAGCATCCGGTGCCTCGACAGCGGCCGCTGGTCGGACGAGGCTCCCACGTGCTCACGTAACGCGCCCACGTGCTCACATGACGCGTCCACGTGACGCGCCCACGTGCTCACGTGACGCGCCCACGTGCTCACGTGACGCGCCCACGTGCTCACGTGACGCGACCACGTGCTCACGTAACGCGCGCGACGCAGCGACATCCATCGTTGTTACTGCACTGCTGCTGCCGCTACTGATGATGACGACGACGACGAAGATGATTCGGCTGCTGTTAAAATTGTGCTACTGTTGCTCATGATGACAATTCAGGTGCTGGGGTGACGACGCTGTTATTGCTGCTGATTTCGATGATGAGTTTGCTGTTAATAATGATGATCTTTCTGCTATCTTCTATTGATGGTGGTGATTTTGGTGATGGTAGGGATTCTGTTGATGGTGGTAGCGATTTCTATTGATGGTGGTGATTCCGCTGATGGTGGTGGTGATTCTGCTGATGGTGGTGGTGATTATGCTGATGGTGGTGATTCTGATGATGGTGCTGATTCTGCTGATGGTGGTGATGATTCCACTGATGGTGGTGGTGATTATGCTGATGGTGGTGATTCTGATGATGATGGTGATTCTGCTGATGGTGGTGATGATTCCACTGATGGTGGTGGTGATTCTGCTGATGGTGGCGATTCTGCTGATGGCGGTGATGTGTGTGCGGATGTGACCCGGGGCTCTGCGCACTCGCAGGGGTCGGGATGTCGCTGTCTCCGCTCTGGGCCTCGGCTCTGATCGCCGCGGGCTGCGTGGCCGGAGGCGCCGCGGTTCTGCTCGTGTCCTTCGCCCTCGCACGACGGTGAGACGAGTGGGGTAGTGAGATGAGTGCGGTAGTGAGACGAGTGTGGTGTGGTTAGATGAGTGCGGTGGTGAGGCGACTGCTTAGACTGTCTTTCACGAGTGCCCTGAATTGCGATGTTCAGTCAGTTTTGTGAATGGGCGTTTAGCACTGAACCGCGCCGTCTCTGTAAATTGACGGGTTAACATCCGTGCCTTCTTTCACTTTTCAGCTCCAGAAAAGTAGCGTCTGACGACCATCCGAAGATGACTCTGTAACACCACAATCTCCATGGAGGGCGCCTCACTACACACAACAACAACAAATACCCTGGACAGCGCCGCACTAAACACAACAACAACACAAATACCACGGACAGCACCTCACTACACACAACAACAGCACAAATACCACGGACATCACCTCACTACACACAACAACAACAACACAAACACCACGGACAGCGCTTCGCTACACACAACAACAACAACAACAACACAAATACCCTGGACAGCGCCTCATTACACAGCAGCAGCAACAACAACAACAACCAAAACACGCGCACGGAGGACGCAGACTCGCACTCCGGATTTGTATGTTTCAAGACGAGTGTTGGTTTATTTATATAATCGCAATTGTGATCCCGTTCCAGAATCAATGTTTCTGTATATGTCTTAACACAAACTAGCAGATCGCACATCCATTGGACGTAACCATCCTTTCATCCGCCCGTTTCTCCCTCCGCACCTGACGTCTGGCCCAACCAGCCAGCCAGAAAAATGAACTGTTGTCTCACGTAGTATGATATGACATTGTGCTGAATGTAGCCGCCTCTACTGGCTGGAGGTGGGGGGTGAAAGGGAACGCACCTAAACCCATTATGAAAAGTATATTACGCGTGAATCCACCGATATGTCAATGTCATCATTATCCGCCCGTTTATTCACCGAAAAGTCATCATCATTATCTACACACCGCCCGAGTCCAATGTTGAGTCTTAATCTGATGATTTTCAGTTAATTATGTTAATTGTACCGATGCGGGTTTTCCTTTGTGTGTGTGTGTTTTTGCGCCTGTGTTTGTGGTTTTGATGCAGTGTTTATACGATTTCACCACATTGTACGAGAAGTGTTCATTTTTACCAACATAAAGCGTGTGTTTCTGATACTATGTGAAGCTTAATTAATTGTTTTGCTGTACTTTGCACCAATGTATGTGCCCCCGGCCTTAACACGCAGATCGCCACACACACACGCGGAGCTCACACACACACGAACAAAGGCAAAAATCTCCCGTATAGCCTGAACAGACTGTTGGGGCAAGTGCTGTTAGCGAGTAGCACCTATGAAGACGGGAACGGTACACGAGTGGGTGGCCAGCACCACGCCCGGCCGCCTTTGTCTCCCTAGTGGCGACGTTTACACATCGCACTCGGTACTCATTTGAGGCTGAGTCGACCTCGGGGAGACCCAGGACCGGTTCAGATAATCGTCACCGGTGTTGGTGGCCACGAGCGGGAATCGAACTCGGCTCGCCGGGTTTGTAGCACAGCGTAGCGCAAACCGCTACCACCACCTACCGCTTCCCCACAACACAGATAAAGACAAAGATCCCCGTATAGCCTTAACAGACTGTAGTGGCAAGTGCTGTTAGCGAGCACCAATGAAGACCGGAACGGCACACGAGGGGGTGGGTGGCCAGCACCACGCCCGGCCGCCTTTGTCTCCCTACTAGCTATGTGTACACACCGTAACAGACCGGTTCAAATATTCACCCCCGTTTTTGGTTGCGTGAGAGGGACTCGAACGCGGATCGCCGGGTTCGTAAGCGCAGTGCGCCAACCAGTGCGCCGCCGCTCTCCGCCGAAGCACGCGGGGGAGCACGCGCACGCGACTGGGCGTCACGTGACGCGCTTAAGTGAGTGGGGGAGGGTATAAAGGGGACGCGGCTCGCGAGCGCAGAGGGGAGCCGTGGAGGGAGTCGCTCGCCATGGGGGGTGCGACCCGCGTGCTCGGAGTGCTGCTGGCACTCATCGCCTGCCAGGTGCGCGCGACCAACACCACAGGTACTGCTCCGTGCAACAACAACACAACACCTGTAGCAGGCACGGGTGCTGTGTGTGTACAGGTGAGGGGAGGCGGTAGCGTGGCGGTTAGAGCGCTGCGCTACGAACCCCGGCGTACCCGGGTTCGATTCGCGGTCACGGACACCAACGCCACTGAGGACATCTGAATCGGTCCGAGGTCGACTCAAGCACCGATGAGTTCCTGGTGCGGCGTGTAAAACATCGCCACTGGGGAGACAAAGGAGGCTGGGCGTGGTGTTGGCCACCCACCCCCTCGTGTGCCGTGCCGGCCTTCATAGGTGCTCGCTAACAGCACTTGCCCCAACAGTCTGTTCAGGCTACACGGGAGATCTTTCATCTTTGTTCGTGTTAATGTTCCTTTTTAAAGACCGCCACAGCGCACGATTAGGTCTCGGCCGCCTTTGTCTCCCCCCGTGCTGTTGACGTTTACATAGCGCGCCACCAGCACCGGTTTAGCCGTCGCTCGCTACTGATGTTAGCCGTTGCTGGGAATCGAGACGGCACTTATACCGATTGTCTCTCTGTGCGTGGGGCACCAACAGTGGAAGTTCGCACCACCGCGCTCCGATCTTAGCGACCTGGGTTCGATTTCCTTCGAACCCAATAGCCCTTCTTCACAGTACACAGATGGGGCAGAAAGGTAGAGTGGTTTGTATGCGGAGCACTCGGAGTAAACTCACCGTACATGCTATAGAGGGGAGGTGGGGGGGGGGGTATCACTCGACTATCGGCTACACGAAATTCACGCTACTCGAGTCGACGAGGCCACGTGCTCTACTGCCATTAACGTGCCTCGACACCGCAGCGCTTGCAGCAGCGGGTTGCTGGCAGCTCCACGCGTCGGCGATCACGGCGAGAGGGCGTAGCCATCGGGTGTGCAGGCGGTGCAACTGCCCCGGGCCCCCTCAATACAAAAATACAAACAATGGGTCAAGGTGCTCATTGGGGTGTTGTTGTTGTCGTTGTTGTTTTTAGCATACTTCACCAGGCTGGTCAGTGCGCGTTGTTACAAATTGGAGAGGGGGAAGGCGGAGGGATGTGGAGGTGGGAGGAGGAGCGCGCAGCCGAGTCTGACATCACTTTGCACTGACGTCGTTAGCCTTGGTCGGGAGTCAAACTCGGGTGGCGAGGTTTACAGCGATTTTGGTGCGGAGGTCTGGGGGGGGGGGGGTGCGGGTGTGAGTTTGACGCCATCACCGCTGTGTTCCTCCCCGCGGCAGAACACGCATGGAGCGAGTTCGAGGATGTGGACGACGAGAGGAGGGCTCTCGCGCCCACCACGGACGACGAGGTCCAGCCCGGGACCCCGCGGGGAAATCCGTGGGACGCGGCGAAACGGTTGGGGGGTTCGTCATCATCATCGTCATCAACAACAACAACATCGTCATCATCTCCTCCTCGTCGCCCCTCGTCCCGCAAACCTCCCGTGGCGCCGCTGCTTTCCACGTGGTGGTTCCGCTACGGCCGGCGGGACGCGTCACGGCGGCGGGGTGACGCGGCAGAGGATGAGGTGTCCACCGACGCGCAGTCGTCCAGCGCCCAGCCTCGTCGCCCCTTCCCCCGTCACCTGTGGTGGTTCCGTGCCGGGAAGCGCAGCGCCGCACAGATGATGCCCGTCTCGGGAACGCACGCCAAGTAGCTGACACACGCGCCACGTGCTAAGGCGACTTGCCGCGCGAGGCCACCGCCGTCAAATTTTGCTCGCTCGCTCGTTCGCGATGGCAACGTGGAGTCGCACGCGATGGCGTGATGATGTTACGCGTTCGAAATGAAGGGACGGGGAGCTCCAACATATTCATTTTATACATAATAGAGAGGTTTTTTTTTGGGGGGGGGGGGGGGGGGTGAGATCGCGTAAATATATCGGTGTGTCGTTAAATACGCTACCACCCGACACAGCCAACTAGTAAGGGTTGTCACGTAAACAGAGCATGCCAATTCGTCACTAGTACAGCACACTGGGTGCGTTGGAGAACAATGCCGCGACATTTACAATCTGAGTACGACGTTTCGCCAGTAATTACAACTAGCTTCATCAGGCGACAGCCAGATTTGTAGAGACATCCTCCTGTATCCTTCCTTCAATAGCGGGGTAGATGTTATGACATCCCTTGCGAGCTCTTCTTGCGCGAAGTCGGGGGGGCGGGGGGCGGGTTAATGAACACACAATAAATTACGATGGGTATCTGTAAAAGGCAACAAAATGTATATCCTTTGGTTCTTTCGGTAAAGTCACGTAAGAAAAAACTGCAAGAAAAAACTGCTGTGGTTGTCCCTGACTGATGACGATTGCTTGTGTTGCCATCGAAACGTCGTGATCGATTATTTTTCTACCGACGTGACTTTGCCGAAAGAACCAAAGAGTATGGATTCCTGCAGTCACGAAAGCTTCAAATCACGATTGAACATATATATCATCGCTGTGCGCGTCTGCATCAAGCCCCCCCCCCCCCCCCCGTTATCCACGTCGCTGTGGTGTGTACAGGGCTGATCGAGAGCACCGCTGGTCACTTACGAGCCGGAATTAATATGACTCCCCTCCCTCCCTCCACGTGTGGTTGAAACCCATAGAAAGTAAGGACCTTCGAATCGAACCCTCGCTGCGAAAATAAGTAATTGTGGGGATGCCCGTTTCTATTGTGCCATCACGCGAACTTCGGTCATCCTCGCAGCAGCGGAGCCACATTTTAAATTATCGGGATTTGGCTACGTACGGTGTGAAAGAAGTTCAACATACGGTGCATGCGTGGCATATGGTGTGACATTGTTTGGCGGTGCCCCTCTGCCGCCACTAGAGGCGCTACATCTAACACGGTGTTCTCGATCGACGTCAACAAACGCCTTAATTTGTATGTCTCATAAACTTCTAGGGCACTTCCCGACAAGGTAGACATCTGAAATTTGGGACACAGATATATTTTAGGACACAAACTACATAAATCATCTGAAAATCCGAGATTTTTCATTTTAAGGCCCCCAAATCGCGATGTTTAGGTGCCTCATGAACATGTTTGTGCCTGGTGGCATTCAGAAACCGTTCAAACTATACCATTGCGGTTTTGTTTTCGTTTGATAGAGCGCTAAACAGCGAATAAAATTAAAGCGACAACCATTGTTCTATCTTTTATTGCTTTTCAGATATTTTGGATTAAAACGGTTTTGAACAAAAAAAAACCACGCATTTTATGATATACAAATTTGAATAATTCGAAAACGATAAAAGATTGGAGCTTCACCTCACAGAGGATTAAGTTCAAACCTTGTTTTCTTTCTAATAAAAACACAATCTTTTAATTGAGCGGTTTCCGATGGATACGTGTTGAAATATAAAAGTTGAATTAGGTCGTCAACAATTTTTGTGATTTTAATGGAAAAATACAATTTTTTGGAGTAGTTGTTGGTGTATGATCGTAGATACATTTTTGCTTGAAAAATCACATCAGGTTTATTATTATATTTATTGAAAACTTTTGCCTGGCGAAGACAGGCTTTATAAATTAGTAGTCCGTATTTAAACATTTATTTATTCGAATATAAATTCCGAATCGTAGCTCAGATTGGCAACATGTCGAATTGCCTGTGGGGTAAATCACTCGAGTAGTACCCATGACAATAGCAAAACAAAACGTAATAATCTACCTTTCGGGTAATGGCTCTTCTTCACAGCACATAGAGAGAGAGTCCAGACCGGTGGATTGGCTTTCTTTCTGACTATGGCCAAGTAGAGACAATGGGAGCCGGAGATGGAGTGAGTGGCTTGCATTAAATACGTAAGTGAACATTTTCCTTCCATTGATACTTAACGCATGCTAAGTTAAGGGGGGGGGGGGGGGGAGATTAACTCAAGTGGTTGGTTGTTGATTTATTGATGGTTGAGTCTGTAAACGCTGTCGCTGTTGGATGATATTGTTTCGATTGTGTTCGTGATCAACTATGAGCATGTAATCAGTCATATGTACATGCATGGTTTTGACATTTGCTGTGATAACTTACAGCAGTATACAATAAATAATTGTGCTCACAGAGTATATGTGGCCGTGGTTGTGGCTCGTGCGTGAGTGTGTATGAGCGGTGGTGCA